TCAGGTGGATCAAGTTTAAATATGACATGATGGTGGGCTATTATTGGAAAGGTCAGAGAAGAGTAAATTCATATATTCTATTCACAGTAAGCAACATATTGATATATTGTTAAAGCTTTATGTATGTCTTAAATGCTTTAAAAGTTGTTAAGTTGTTTTGGTACTGGCCTAAAAATAAATAAAATATTCATTGGTATTATTTACATGTTTGGTTTGTTTTTTTTTTTAGCAAAAAATAAAAATCCACAATTTATACCACAAATATTTTGGATCTGGTCAGCAAATTAATGGACAGGTCTTACTGTGGCATGCCATTTACCCCTTTCATGCATATTAAAGATGAATTGGAAAAATAAAAATGTAAATGCCATCCTTTCAGTTGCTAGTTAGACTTTAAGACGTTCATCTTTTGTTTTAATATTGTACTATGTCACTTTTCAATTGTTAAACATGTTGGACAAATTTTGGAATCAAAGTTTTCAACTAAGGACACAAATAGCATTACAAAATATTTCCCATAACTTGCTACTGAGAAATGGAAGTGACCCATACAGTACACTTCATTCAGTCAGTAATCTCTTGTAAGCAGATTCCAACAAAAGGTCTCCTTTTTCTGCCCTTCCCACGTAGATAGAGGGGATTCACTATAGCCATTTCAATAATCTGTCCAGATATAAAAACTACTCGACAGAACCAAGGATTGCAGACAACATCTGGCCGACTGCATTTTCACGAGGATAAACAGGTGCAAAGTTTCCTCCACTGCAAACGGGTTATGGTATAATGGTGTAGTAAAAATTACCTTGATCAGATAATGACATTTGATTACAATTAAACAAATTTACTGTAAATGAACAAATTATGTTACGTTTGGACAATATTGCATGTTACATCTGCATCATAACACACTGTAAGAAACTTTACTTAGATTAAATTTGGTGGATAAGGGAACCAAGAAGTATGGTTGTAATCTGCTTGCAGTATGAGAAAGGCATTTGGGGAATCATGAGTACATAAATGTTCATTCCCTTTGGTTATGTAAAAGGCTCAGAGGGAGTGGCCCAAACGTGAAGAGGATCATTTCCCCAGGTTGCCTGTGTGCTGGTGAGTCTCCAAGCCATTGCATAAGAGTCTTTTCGGACACTCTTTTCGTATGCCGTCCCGAGTCCAATGGATTTCTACACACTCTGACTAACTCATGGCATGTGGGTGTATGTTTGTTTCTGTTTGGTTGAACATATGTGATTTGTTACAGTATTATTAGTAACAATTTATACTTTTCCAACATCAAGAGGAGAGAGAATGCTCTATGAAGACCCCTAAATAAAGCCTGTAACTGAAACAGTAACTTCATAAATTGCATTCAATTTTTTATTTTTTTATTTGTTTTATGCAAGGAACTTCATTAAATAATTATGATGATTCTTGTAAAACACTTTTTCAAAATAACTTTACCAAGTAATTTTCAAAATCAGGAATATGAAATAACAAAGGCAAAATATTTACCCTCAGCCAAACACCTGTAGTTAATGTAAATTAAATAATTGATTATTGCAAAAAGTTATAAAAACCCTCTGTGACACACAAACTAGTTCACTTTCTTTCCCACGAGTGCTGAATATTAGTACACAATTTCAGCTATTAGCTACTTTTATCAAGAATCATTTGGATGTATACCAGCTTTCAGAAACAAATCAGTCAAATACACTCACTGTAGAGACCTACTTAAAAGGATGTCTGTACATCAATTTACACACATTAAACGCACATGTGTATGTTGTGCAAGCATTAATTTGGGTCAACTGTGTGTTATCCCATTACAATTAGACAGATGTTCTGAAAAAGCCAGATGGAATGTAGATGAGTGCATTTTCAGATATATATAACTCTGTATGAGCCAATGTGTTTTATTTCCTTTTTTTGTATTGTGCAAACCAACCACATTTGCACATCTGTGTATGTGTGTCATGCCTGTGTCTGCATGCAAACATGAACAAACATGTGCTGAATTGCTGGCGGTTGTGGAAATGTTGCTGCTCCTGGTTTCAGCATGATAAAGGCAGTGACGAATTGAGCAACCACCTCTGTGTGTGTGTCATGCTGATGAAGAGCAGGCCTATTAGAGAAGACCTACTAGGACTGTCATGAGTGCTGAATGGGGCCCTTTATGCCTCTCTCCTCCCCTGCCAATCTCTAAAGAGGCCAGCAGAATAGATGGTCACCAGTGACAGCCATTGACAAGTAAGAGTTACTTAAAGGAGTGTCAGCAAAGATCAGTAAGAAGGGTTTAATATTAAATGAAGGGCAGGCTCAGGTTCTTTCTTCTCTGTGATGGGAGAACCTTACAGCCTCAATTACTGCTGGGACGGATCATCAGCAACATAGGACACACAGAACACACACACATACAGTACAACAGAGAGTGTCTCCACAGTGTTTCCATTCATCTTTGACTGACAAAGATAGTATCTCAATGAGACAGACTAATTCTACTTCTCTTCAAGCTCAATTTCTCACAGACAGAGCAGAAAGGTGGTAGGCTTACCTTCCATTTTAGGTCTAGACTATGTTTAAATGATTAGGTAATTTGAAGGCAACTGAGCTAAAGCACTGTAGAGGGGGGTACGTGTTTGGATAGTTGATGATTTGAGAGGAACAGGACCTTTCAGAAGATGAAAACATTGGGATTGTTTGCCAGAAGTTGCATAGCAGACCAAACCCTCCTGTTTTTTCTTGGCCAGAGCTGTCGAACTGCAGATTCATAACCCAAAGTTGAAATGCTATGTTATATGTTGTGAACATATGGGCAGAAAAACTGATGACATTTGAGTGTTATATGATGCTCTCATAACCCTTTTCTTCATTACATTTCATGCAAGATACATATAAATTATTAGCTTTTTACAACTGGAAAGGCCACAACTTGAGTTTCAGAAATTCTTACATTAATTTCATCCTGCATTCCTGTCTTTGTTCAGAAAAAATGTTTTTTTTTACCTGTATGTAACCTTATGGATGTGTTTCTATACAAAAAAAAGCAAACAGGATGTCACAGGCTAACGTGTGCTCTTGCAAAAGTTCATACACATGCAAACCTTATTGATAAAAATAATCATATAGAGCACCTCTTAAAAATTAAGTTTTAACTTTTACCTTTACTGCTAGCAACAATTAGTTCTTTATGAATCTACACTATCGGGTCAGGTGTAATTACTTATAGGATAATAAAAAGGCAAATGATTAAATGGCTTGTGGCATTTCTCTTACAGTTTATATATAAAAGGATTTTACTCACAACTTTTACTGTGTGACTTTAATGAGTCAACAGAGCACTCAAGACACAAACATGATGTTTTACTACAATTTTCTCTGGTTTACCTGTCCAGGGCCCAGGACATGGTATATGGCAGGTGCCTTTCAGCCAATTAATGATCCAGTTCAGGAATCTTGTAACTATAGTATCAGCAATTAATCCTCCTAACACCCCTTCAAAGTGAGTTGGTAACAGACAGATCAGCATGCTGTATACTTTTACTGCACCCAAACTACACATAACCATGAGTACAATTAAGTAGAAAAATATAGTCTGCTGTGACTGTAGTGGAACAGTAAAATAAAGCCTTTAAACGCAGAACTTTGTAGCATCCAGTGTGTCATCATTACCCACAAATGGGGAGTCCAAATTAACCTAGCATTTTCTGTTTATTTGACTGACTGTATGATTCAGCTGAATGTAAAATGGTTCAGTAGCGGCCTTTCAATTGAACTTCTATTATTATCATTCATATTTTCATCTAATCTGGTCTAAATCCATGAGCTCAGGGCTTACTGACGTCTGGGACTAAATTGTGGGATACTTCAGAGATCATGGAAGATCCTGTAGTCACATGTTAGGGGCTATTATTGGCCATGAAAATGATTTCTGAAATTGATTGACTTTTACAGTATTTTTATTTTTGCAAAAATCAATCATCATTTTATTAATCGCTGACACTCCTTACATGTTGAATGTGGAAATTTACTGTAATAAAATGTAATTGTTACACTTCTAATGTGCTTAAAACTTATGAATAAAAGTCTAAACTGGCACAGTCTAGAGTTAAAAATATTTACTTTTGCTTTTCAATATATTTCTCAGATATTAAGCACTTGTTAGTCATGAATACATTTGTATAATAAAATGTATTAAGTTTCTATGTTTTTACCATATAAGTTTCATATGATATTGACCACTTATTAAACTTGTTTACCCATTTTTTGTGTAAAACACAACACTGTATTATCAGAGTCGAGCATTTTAGCACAAGCAAAGGATGATTCATGTAAGCTGTGTTTTAACTGTAGGTCATTGAGCTCCCCTGGCAGAAGGAAGCCCCGTGTTTCATGCTTAAGGTTTCTGATTTGTTGACGGTAAGGGAGAACAGAATAGCCCAAGATTATTAGTGCCAGAGGTGTGCTTGACCAGATCACGCTGACATGTTTCTGTTGGGTTATCTTAAACAACCGCAGACAACAAGCAGGCACCTCCTTTTGTTAAAGTGCACCAGAACCTAATACTGGCAGCACTAGATGTAATTAACAAGAGTGGGAGCTAACAATGAGACAGGCCTATGTTGCTGAAGTCATACCCTCAACTAGACTGTTTACTGAAATTTTAATAGGTTTTAGAGCAGATATTTAAGTGTTTACACTTTGAGTAATAAATCCTTATGGTGGTTAGGTTTATTTAGTTTTGCAACATTTGCCAGATATGTTTCATAAAGGCATTTGTTTCTCTTGTAATTAAATGCTAAAAACTTCAATTAGCATTGTGTTCAGGGACTGTTTTCCATGAGCGCTCCTAATAATGTTTATTTACTATAATTCAGCTTTTGGATTCTAATACAAGCTTGTCAACCTCTACTGTCATCTGTAACTACGTCTACTCATTCAGCACTGCTGCGTAACTGACCTGCAGTATGAACTGAAATTGGTATACACAGAACCAGACAGGTACTCACACAAGGAAGTGGTAGAGGAAGCATTTCAGTCCTGCAGGTCTCTCTAGGAAGTTGTAAACATCCCCCTGCATGCTAGTCTTGATGTAAGGGCTTTGGAAATCCTTTTGATGATGTAGCCAGCTCGAACGAGGGAGAGGTGGAGGGACAGAGATAATAGAGGGCTGCCTTTGTAGGGTCTGCAGCACGGGGTCCTTTGTGTCTGATCCATTATTCACCGATGTGGGGTCCAGTTCCATTGAAACAGGAGAGTAGTCGCTTATGTCAGATGCAGGAGCCCATAGGGCAGAACCAGCACTTGTAGTGCCGGTGGAGGCCACAGGGTCTGCATCCATCTCCTTGTCCAGGCTGAGGCTTGTGCTGGCATATCCATTGGGGCTGTAACGTATGAAGGAGCTCCCCATCCTGCTGCCATGGTCGCGCTGCACGTGGCACGTCATGTGAAAGGAGTGTGCCCGTCTTTCCCCCATGTTGCCCCACAGGATGGCCCTGTCCAGAGAGGGCCAAGGGGGACTTAAAAGTCCTGGAAATTCCTGGAAGTTATGACCAAGGTTTAAGTAGAAGAGAAGAGCCCACCAGGATAAGACACCTAGCTAGGCATTGCTAGCTGCCCACTGCAGACAAGATCCCTCTCTGCTGGACTGCATGTGTGTCCATACCTGCAATGGAGTAAGTGACATGAGTCATGGTGATAGTATGACTTGTCTGCCTTGCTCTCTGCTAGCAAGGACCTTGTTAATTTAGCATCTGTCATGAAAGACATAAGATGTGGACAATGTAAAGTGTGTTTGCTAAACCACCATTACTCTGCTTTTATACAAATGTCTTTTACAGCTCACATTATTTCCAAACACATCTGAATGTTTTAATGTGCTTGGAAGGTTGCCAAAAAGGACATTTAAGAGTTTAAAATTTTTACATTTTCAGTGTTACTGTAAGTGACCGGCTATTGTTATGTGAACGGTCTTAACACTGGAAAGTTTTAAAAATGAATATGTTGCAGCTACTACACAAAATCTGCTACTGTAAAAGATGGCCAGCATTCAAGCATAACAGAAAAATATCCTTAGTACAAATATATCATCAGATTAGAATCTGGAAAATACTTAAGCTGGTTCCCTTCAGCATGTTACTTTTGAAATATAGCCATACTTGGACTGAGACCTGTTGTGCTTACAAGGCACTGACGCTGATTAGGGCTTCTGAATTCATAACAGTTCTACTTCTTGCTCTAAGATGTATCTACAGAATGTATACAGCCATGTTTGTGAAGTTAAAAAGAGAAGGAAAACAGAGGGGACTGCCACAGGTGAGTAAGAAATAATTGTGACATTTCTATGAACTTTTGCAAATGGTTATAGAGTTAGGCTATTATACTGTGACCTATGACCTCTGAACATAATAGTCCCAGAACAAAATCAGAAGCAAGTTTATGTAGCAGCGACAGGTCAGCATACAAGTCCTATTTCCGCCTGCTCTCTCTGAGGATTTACTACTATAAAAACAGCATCCTGTTGCATTGTCCTTGATGGATGTCAAAGCCTGTCTAGTTTCCCATCTGGGAAGGTAAAACAAATGCACAGCAGGCACTCTGCTCTTAGAGAAAATAATCCAGTGTGTTTACTAGCCTAAACCACATTTCAAGCCACTAAAGTTACTATGTGACCTTCCCTATTGGTTACACAAAACATTTCACCTCACAGAAGCTTAATCAACATGCAAGCTGAAGAATATTAGCCTGATTAAAGGGTACTTTCAGTATTTTCAAACCTGGGCCCAATTTTCACATATTTTGGTGTCAAAATGACTAGTAGGTACAAAAAAGTTTTGGAATCCGTACACTAGATGGCTTCAGCCAGCAGCAACAAACCAGCTGCAGAGGATGCAATGTATTCCTTCGGGGCAATTGTGCCCGTCAAAATTAGGTCCACAGAAAGTGCTTCTTTTAGCCACTGATAGGCTCAGATTGTTAGTCAAGGTGTCTGACAACATCATGGAAAAGATCCATTGGAGTGACATTCTTTGTTTTTAACAAACAGAAGTCTTGCTCAAGGACAATCTTGCTCTGAAATCTCGTGAGAGGCGAGTTGTTGCAGGAAGATGATGGTGGATACGTGAGTCAGAGTCAGAGAGATGAGTTTGTTATGTTGGAGTAACGTTGGTAAATAAGGTCTTGCTAGCAGTTCCTCTACAGTATGCATACAACAAACTCTTCTCGTTTCCATCGTTGTATTTTGTATCCAAAGTACAAGGTACAAGGTTACATGTATACACCCCAAACATTCCAAGGTGCATTTTTTGAATTTGCATCTGGAGTGAATGTAAACAGCAACAACCAGATGATATTATGAAAGTTTTATCTTCACAATAAACAGTCTGAGTTTGAGCACCAAGCATCATCGATGTAAAACAAGAGTCCACTTCCTCTCATCTTGCCGAAGTCTTGCGCTGACAGCTCAGAACATGGACCACCAGCCAAGTGCTTGATCCGGGATGTTGATGGGGCAGGTCTCTGTAACGATGTGGGCACAACAGTCTCTGAATTCCGTTGTTTGGTCAGTGTCCCATTTTGTCCAGACCGGATCTTTAGGATCAGAATTAAGTCCAAGCTGGGTCAGCATGGCTCCTCTCCTGGCTCTTACCTCTCCTCTGAGCGATTACCGCACCAGCCTGGTCCACTAGTCATTTCGACGCCAAAATATTTGAAAATAGGGCCCGGGTTTTAAAACCACTGAAATTATCCTTTAAAGCCACGGATATCTGCAGCCGTGTGAACGACTGTTTTTACAGCTTGTCTACGAGCTGTCAGCCTCACTAAGTTTGCTTTTGAAGCAGGTGTAATGAAGTTAACTAATTGTGTGAATCCAGGTAATAATTGGCCAAAATTGGATTACTAAGTCTGGACAGCACAGTAACTTGACAACAACACTTTCCATTTGCCAAGTCAAAGCGAATTCTACTCTTTGCTGACTTATGTACAATTAATTAGTGTAACAAGGTGGGTGGTTCAATATCTCCTCTGGAAAGAAACTGAACCAGGTAGTGTGATAGATGGCCGGATGTTGCCTAAAAGGATCGGAAAAAGCCTGATGGGACAAGAGAGGTAGGCTAATTGGAGGCAGCCACCCCATCCAGATCTGTCCTCAGCTATGGATAAACTGATGACAAAACCCACATGACTGCTGTCTCACCATAGATTGAGTTTCTACCTTTAAAACTAGACAGTAATGAGACACACACAATGAACTGTCAGACGTGCATAGGCTGCTGTCAGACTCTATAATTACAGAGTATTGTATGACTTTCTGAACGACCCTGGCATGAGACCTATAACACAAACTGAATGATGTGAGTTAAAATAAATTACAAAAACATTTAGCTTCCACTCCTTAAAAAAAAAAAAAAACTTAGCCTACATTTCCTCTTGTCATCTGTTTAACTAATTTCCTTAAAACTGTCACAATGAAGCACAAGTTGGGATCTGTTTAATGAAGCTGCATAATCAAGCAAATGCTAAGTCAATATATGAATCAATTAATGCTACAGGCCGCTGTTCTTAGCTGCGTACTTGATGAGTTAAACAACAATTCTCTGTGTCAAATCTTACCTTTAACTCCAGAAACACCTTTCAAGATGTAATCGATGGTAAATAATAATGTTATTATCTCAGAAACCAGGCAACAACTTCGGCTTTTTTGTCGTTAATAAAAACAAGATCCAGGGGTAAAATAACTAAATTACATAAATTAGAATGTATCTTCCCGCGCTAAAACAAAAACAACCCTAACATGGAAAATACTCAGAGAACATGAGGCTTAAATCGGCTGCTGCCTGCAGGACTTTACCCTTTGAAGTGCATCGCGGCTTCTGCCCGGACCAATGCTGCGTTCATGGGTTAAGGGAAATTACATCAGCGAACAACAATGTGGTACCCAGGCTTTCTGTTTTTATTACCAAGTGCCCAAAATGCAAAATTATGTAGTAGTACAGTAGATATGTGAAGACGTGAAATGTTGGTTTTTTGTTTTTTTTTAGTAAAAATGTAATTTATGATAAACACTGGCTATGAATAAAATGTGATAGCTAAGTCACAACTGCCAATGTGTAAATCCAGAGAGTGTGGATTTGTCGGATTTGATATTATGCATTTACAAATTCTAGAAGGGCTGTAATTAATAATTATTTTAATCATTAATTAATCAGTCTGTTTTTCATTTTATTTAATCAGATCATTTTTTAGTCTATGGATAAAATGTCAAGAAATAGGGAAACATAGCCTACACATCACAAGTTCCCAGAGCCTAAAAGCATGCCTTCAAATAGCTTGTGCTGTCCAACAGTCCACTGCCCACATATATTCAATTTAAAGTAATATTAAACAAAAACAAGCACCAAATCTTTATGTTGGAGAAGCCTGACACCCTAAATGTTTGGCTTTTTTTTGTTGCTTGGTAAATCACTTCAAGCAGCGTTTTCTTCTAAACAAATTATGTTTACATTCAGTTTCTAACCTAGCCTATACATCATGGCAAATGTTTGTGTGACATATGGGGATCATAATGGTTGTCTTGTAGAAGAGCCCTGAACTTGTATGTGTATAATCAAACTACCATGCAGTCAGTGATACACAGAACACCTGGGGTGATGTGACTGGTTTTTGTCCCAGGGCCCACAACAATTTAATTTGGTTGAGTGTTTTCTCGCTTTAAAAATCAAACTGGGTCCATCGGTGTGTCATGTAACAGCATGAAATAAGCAGTTTTCCACTAGAAAAGCAAAAAAAACGTGCTACAAGTTTACAACACTAATTACTCTTATCACCTGAAACTAGCTAGTTTTTCTACATGCTGGCCAACTACAATATATATAAATTAGACAAACGTATTTGCAAACGTACCCTGCATGCAGTCTCTTGTATTTTTATGCTAAGGTTAGGTTGAATAAAACTGAATATTTACACATAACGATACTGTCTAACAATCCAAATGTATGTGAACTCGTTATGCCCCTTAACATGCTGTTAGTTTAACTTACTAAGACACATTTCAAGTGTGATCAAACTGGATCCGGTTGCAACCAAAAACAAGACCGTGCTCGTGCCTCACTCTTACGTTAGCTTAATATGTTTTCATGGCTTAAGGTTATAGCCACAGGGCCATTTTTACGATATGTGATTTTACGGGGAGCATTTGAAGGCACCACACGTTAATAAAGCAGCAGCTGGTGGACGTCGCTGGTCCGGTCACACATGGATGGTCGAGCGCTTACAGATACTGCATGTAAATACGAATGAAGAAGGGTTGATGCTATTCATTCTATCCAAACAATTTTTTTAACAGTCTTTATTAAAGTTTTACCTCCGCCTAAATAAAGTCCTATCCTGAATTATAAGCTGCGATTCCACACGTGTTCAACTGTAGGAGGCACTAGAGACTCACTCTGCGCCAAGTTACACGGTTCGCAATGTTTCTTGGTTTGTCCCTCGCTGGTTTCCATAGTCATTGGGAAAACATGGTTTCACACAGTAGCAAGGCATTTCTGTCCCTAGGTCGAATATATGTTCCTTGTCTTGGATTTCAGAAGTCAGTGAGCAGAGTCACATACGCGACAGCTTTGTCTATAAATTCCCCTACTGGAAATAAAGGTGAGTTTCACTGTCGTTGTAAAATAGTTCATGCTGTTTCTGAACCATAGCAGCACGCTAAGCTAACTACTGAAGATGCAGCAAGGCCGGTTATGGTACCCCTGTGCTTTGACAGGGATGTACTTTAGCAGTTAAGAGTGTATAAACTTGACGGATGGATAACTATTTACATGGAACAATTGAAAAGCCAGAACTAGGGAATGCTTGGCATGTTTGAAAAATGACAAGACGTTACTTACCTAAATTGTCTTTTTTTTTTTTTTTTTTTTTTTTGAGAAGATCGAGATATAAACGCATTTTCCAGCTGTAATTTATTAACTTGTGTAGACAGTACAGCAAGAAGCATAGGAAATAAATCAGATGTACAAGCACGTACTGTAAAGCATACATCCGGTGTATTGTCAAAAATACCAATAATCAGAAAAAGTAAATAAGATTGAAGAATACAGAAATGGGATTTGTGCAGTGGTTAAAGTGTGTTCTATCTAGGATAACATTGTTTACAGCATGACATTAATTTATTGTGAAAATGTTCATATTAAAAAGTGTTTGTGTGTGGCTAAGCTCGAAATTTAATGCATTTTAGGCTTTCCTGATAGAGGTGGTAGAGGATCCTTTGTCAGAAAACCTCGGAGAGATGTAAGTGAGCAGCTGTTATGTTTGCAATGAATTGTTAATGAATATAACAAGATGCACATGTTTCAAATAAGACAAAATATTAAATAAGACATTTCTTACTGAATAGATTGGCACAGATGATTTTAATAAAAATTATGAGCATCTTCATGGTTCTGCAACAAACAGTCATGGATTTTCTCACAGTTTCCTTAATGGGGAAAAAACTTCCTTTGTCCTATGTGTTTTGTATCAGGCAGGGGAGCCCAGGACAGAAAAGATGCCGGTGGATCAGGACTGGACTGCAGTTTATCCTGCAGCAGCCCCCTTCAGACCGGGCTCTATCCCACTTCCTGTGAGGATGGGCTACCCTGTGAATGGAGGCATTCCTCCAGAGAAGAAGGGCAACTTGGAGCTGATCAAGGTCAGATCCCATAGCTCGGGATTAAATGGGTCCACATCATAAACATACTTTTTATTTTTTTTTAATTGTGCTTGCAGTTTTAGAAATTAAAGAAGCAACAAGAAAAACAAGTCAGTACTTCCTCATACAGCAAGCTCTACAGGCTAAGTTTAGCCACATGCTGTTGACTGTGGACTGTCTGTATGTATTCCATCTACAGTACATATCTTAGCAATTATCTCCTAGTATTTATTATGACAAGTGGAGTTAATTGTATCAGCTAGTGGTCTTGCAGTACTGATTGGGTGCTTTTTGCTCTGCTGCATGGGTATGATGGATCTGTGTCTGTGCCCAGATTACTGAGCTGCTGTGTCCAGACACCAGCTGTTCCATCTGGACTCAAGCCACTTGCAGATCCACTACACCCGTCACAGCTGGAGCCCTGCCTTGCAGCCTGATGATGTTGATTTAGTTCTCTCACTCTGCCGTGATGGGCCCGACTGCTGTGCATCCCTTACTTATGTTTGATGCTTGAAATGTTTAACTTTCTTTAATCATGCCCCATATATTACCGTGCTTTTGTCAAAACATAAGCCAATAATGTGACCTGTGAGAATTTTATTGATGTCAATATAGACTATATTATATAATTGTATTTATTATATAAAATCCTTTACTCAAAGGAGGAGGAGGATAGTTTTTTTCTCACTTAGTTTGTCATGCACTTTTAAAAAAAGTAAAACGTATTCTGAAATCTAGCATTAAGTCATTTTTGTAGACTGTTATACAAATTCTGTGTTAATTATGCTTTACACTTTCTGGGATGTACATATTAAGACTCCTGGACATTTTCATGTTTTTGTTACATGAAGAGTAACAAAGCATTTCAACATTCTCATAATCTCTGTCATAATATCTTTCAGATACCAAATTTCCTGCATTTGACACCGGCAGCCATCAAGAAGCACTGTGCAGCTCTAAAACGTAAACATTTTTTTGTTTAACTGTAGAGAAAAGTTATTTATTTGACACAAATAAATATATAAATAGATAGATAGATTTTAGCGTGTAAAAATTTCTTTCTCTGCTCTCAGCATTCTGTACAGAGTGGCCCTCTGCCTTGAACACTGATGCCAAATGTGACGAGCACTTCCCCATCAAAGTAGAAAGCACAGACTACGTGTCTGCCGGCCCGTCTGTCAGAAACCCTTCATCGCGTATTGTTCATCTCAAAGTAAGTTTCCCTGCTATTACAGTTTTTTGTTTTTTTGACAATTTCTGTAAAAAGGTTTTGACCTGGCTTTAACTGTGTTTAATGGATGTATAGAAAGTGTGGTGAAACCTGACATGTAAAATGAGATTAGAGATTTATCCAAATGAATATCGGCAGCTGACATCATGTCTCTGTGACTTATCTAGAGAGACATTCATTGTCCAGTGACCTCAAATCTAAGAAATTATGCCATCATGTCTACATAGAGATTACAGTCGAATTATTTTACATATTATCATGTGCGGAAGCTCGGCTCTGTGTGTTAGTTTAAGGTTTTTTTTGAAAATGTGTTTAATTTTTAACAACATAATACTTTTACAGAAAAAAGTAAAACATGTTCACAACATTTCACGATATACGATAATATTTACTGGGACATTTTGATATTCCTCTTAATCCCCCAACCCCCACCCCCGCTAAGCCATCAATATGCAATCCTCCCCACAGACCAGAACCATACATGTAAACACATAAAAATATATAACAACCACAATCCATGATTTACACTTTAGATTCCATCGTGGAACTTATAGCAATATAATAGGCTTAGCAAGATGGCAGTTAATGTACTGTGATGTAGTAAGAATGCTGTTTCAGTTTATTCTTTGCTGCTTGTTTTGTTTTTAACGTGAGCAGTAATACCAGTGTGCTCTGCAAATCCTGTTTTTGTTTCTTAGTTTAGGGAACCTGTTTACACAAGTGAATTGTATTGTTTTTTTCCAGCTGTCAAACTAATCGTGACTTACAACACTGATACTAAGGAATTTAAACTTCCTTTGACAAATCGGTAATTTCTTCCATGTGGAAATGTGTCATTTTTACCGTTAATCACCAGCCATCTGCTCACACTTTGCCTTAGATTATACCAGTGTGGTAGGAACTATTCAGACATTAATCAAGGTGGATTAGGCACACAGATAGATTGAAGGGCAAATCTCACACAGTTACGTGCAGAGTCTAGAGCAAGACCAAGATAAAATATTTTGTTTCATTTAGACAGGGTGAAAAAGTGAGACTGAGGACAATACTGGAAACCAAATCTGTGGCGGGGTTTGATCCAGGCCAGACATGTGTCAAATTGAACCACTTTACCGTCGCTGTGCACATTTGTCTAGCCACTTTGAAGTGACCTCATGTTTGCATTGTCATATAATTGTTGTTCACATGTACCTTGTATTACCTATTTGTGCATTTTTGTTGCATTGTGCACATTGGATAAGTCAGAGCCATGAAAACCAGTAATCATGGAATAGTATGTTATTTTATATCTATCCATTGTGCAAGGTGATCAGAGATTATTCTGGGCCACAGTATGATCTGTAAAAAGTATAGTATTTTAATCAACACAGTCAAAGCTCTGTATAAGTGAGTTTAGTAGAGTTTTAGGCAGGAGATATAGTAGGTCTGTACAATTTATCAAAATTTTATCGAAATCTGCAAAGTGCAATATCCAAATGTGTAGTGCTGCAGTGAAAATTGTGGTGCAAAAATTATAATTCCCCACTAGCAGTAAATCATATCGCAAATTGATAGATTTTTTTTTTTTTACCATATCTTGCAGCTCTAAGATACAGTACATAATGCAGTCACATGTGCTTTTTGTCTTTGTGTACTTCTCTTTACATCGCAAAACGTTATGTGGAAAATCATGTGCCTGAACAGTTTTGTTTTTTTTTATTATCCAATTGTGTCATTTCCCTCACAGTTAAAGCTGTCTAGTTTGAATCTGGATGACCATGCACGCAAGAAAATGCTCAAACTTGTTGGGGAGAGATACTGCAAAGATACTGATATCCTCACCATCACAACTGACAGGTAAACACTCCTTCCTTAGTGTTTGATATACCTAATTATATGAGGAAATAAAGCAAACTACCATAACTTATTCCTTTTCTTCCCTCTCTCTACAAGCTGCCCATTGAGACAGCAGAATCATGACTATGCCATATACCTGCTAACTGTCCTTTACCACGAGTCTTGGGTGAGTTGAAAATATTGTTGTTTTTTTTCGAGTAGACATTCACAGTGGCTGGATGTGGGGAAATCCTGCCCCAACCTAAAAAGCCACTGTCAGTGATTAATCTTCACCCTCCTCCTAACCAACTTAGCTAAGCTGAGACACCTCTTCTTCTTCTCTCTGTCCACTCATCACACATCTCCTATGACTTTGGGCTTTTTGTTTACTGACCTTTTATCTGCTTTCAACAAGTATCCATTCATTTAAAGGCTGGTTGCGCTCTGGCATTACTTTTACCAATGTCCTGCTGTCGCTTCACCGTGTTTACCCTTTTGAGGGGCTTTGTTTGAGATCAGATGAATGGTCACACCTGATCTGATATGCTGCACCATGCAATATAAAAGGGGTATCAGAGCCTGCATTAAATGCGCAACCCTCATGTTATGTGTTATGTGGTATAATTCGCATGTAACAGTGTAAAGCTAATGTTATAAAAGTTAATATGTAAACAAAGCAATTGGATGGCAAACTGTTGCAATGATTTACACGGATAAATAAAACTGTATTGATGTGAAAGGTTGAGCCCTAATTTTACAGGTTGGTGTTAGCTGAAGTGTTATTGGAATGGCACTGAACTGGCACAATGGTGTGCATTAAGATTTTGGAAATACATGAGGAAAATAAGTATTAACAATATTTTTCAGGAATTAAATATTCTACAAAAGACATTGCAAAAAATATAGTATTACAAAACAAACAAAAAAAATTTAATTCATTCATCTGCGTCTTGGGTGGCATTTACATATGGCTAGCAACATGGCACAGTACCTTACCAGGAGAATTCATGTCCATCTTGTTCTGCAATCTGAGAGACTAAGCCCATTAGGGAGGTATCAGACTTGAATGGGCAGCAGGATGGCAAACAGCAGCATTGTCCAGTTGACATTTCCCCACTGATGGGGGAAAACAGGCTCCCCTATCAGGTGTTGACCCTGATACTAATTCACATTAAGCCAACCATGCCACATCAGTCTGCCACAAGATGCCAACCACATAAAAGAAAATGACTCCACCTTTACCTTTTGAACTTTTCTCGTCAAGGCTTAGTTACAATTATTTATTTTTTTTTAATTCTCTCCGTTGGGAAAGGTGTCCGAGCCAGGAAGCAGAACACTGTCCACTGCCCTTTTGGACACACAATGGAAGGCATAGTGCTTGTCCAGCAGGCCTGTGGAAGCTGTGAGAGTGGCGTAGCGTTCAGGCTGTAACGCTAGCCCACAAAGAGGCCAATTGTTAGCAGCAACTGTGGTGATTTTATCTCTCCACTCAGGGAGACGGACCTTCCCTGCTAATTCCAGTGTGTGCTAATCCAGGCCAGCGTTGGGTCTGACTGCTCAAATCTGCCTCCAACATGGATGGAAGTTTACCACTAGAGGCACTCCATCTGTGCTTGTGCCTTCACCTGTCCTTTCCTCTTACTGAAAATATAAATGTTCATTTTGCAACAGCATCAGGAAGAAGGTTGGAACTTTGCCAGTAACACTTACCTAAAAAGGTCTACTGTACTGACAGTTAAAGTATGACTAAACTTACCCTCTTAAAATGTTATAGCCCTAATGTATGAAGATTATCTGCAGATCTTTCTTTGTTGATCTAAAACTAAGCTACTGATCTATTCCTAAGTATCTAGTGCTCCTCTTTCACCAGGGCCTGGACTTGTTCCAGATGGGATGTTATGTGGATCAGATATGTATAAGCGGTAATGATGGTCATTAACCTCAAACACCTGGAGAGCAGCAAAGCTGAGGCTCTGTCCCTGCCCTGCTTTAAGCTGCAGCACAATGGTGCATATTGTTCTCAAGGGAATGTGATGACAGCTAGACAGGCAGTGGACAGAGCACTATATATGGAGAAATATTATCCCTGTTAGAGGAGCATCAAAGAAGGGTGAGGGGTGACCAAGGACATCTATATTTTACATCTGATGCCATACTGTTTTCAAAACTAGGGATCGAGCCAGACACCTAGGAAAACTTGCAGAAAAAAACATATCTTGTTACCATTTTCATTGATTATAGTGTGGCATATTTGCTGCACCACACATATACAGTTCAAATCTAATTCTACAGACAAGTCGGGTTGGATAAATCTTCCATTTGCAGGCTTCATGTTAAAGGTCACAAATGTGTTCTGTTATTCTCATTCTTCAGAAAACAGAGGCCTGGGAGGCTGAGAAGACCGTGGCAGACATGGAGGAGTATAGCTGGGAGGACAGCCCGTCCCAAAGGAATATTTTGGATGTGCTAGTACGCATGAAAGTGGCCGGGGGAGGAGAGGGCGAGGAAGTGCACGAGCAGCTGCTTGGAAGACGAGAGGTGCAGGAGTATAAGGACTCTGTCACAAGGCTGAAGAATGAAGGGGAGAGCGAGAGCACCATTCTGCAATACAAAGAGGCGGTCAAGAAAGTACTCAACCTGTAATACAGCTTAATGTACACATGTATTTACATGAAGATGGTGACCAAGAGCAGCAATGACCTGTAATAGGGTCCACAAAAATATTTTTAAATACTCCATCTGCGTACTAGTAACACAAACAAGAGATTACTCTAGAGTTACTGTTCAAATATACATCAGTTTATACAACATTAAGGGTCTTTACTTATGTATTTATTTTCCAAAAGAAATTTACTGTCTTATGTGTATGATGCTGTCTTTAATAGAAAATTAAAAGTCTAATGCAAGCTGTTGTTAAGAGGGTTCTGTCTTAGATGTCGGAAAGTTGTGCATGATGGTTAAAGTTTTAATGTAATGAAAGCCCCATTCAGTCAGTTCCCTGCCCAACTTCAGTTCCCATCTCACTCTCGTCACCATCAGGTCAAGGAGTGGCATCCCAGTGAAAGGATGCTTTCAGCAGTAGGTTGGTGAAAAGTACCTCATAGTTCTTAAGGAGTTTTGGTCTGTGATCCGTGCACTTTTAGGTCAGAAGAAACCCAATGCAATGAGGAGATGTGCTGGACTGCAGGAGGGTTAAACACAGAAGGCCACAAGGCAAAAAGTAGCCAATCATCACACATTGTTGACGATCTGAACAACCCTTGAATTGTAGCTGTCTTTTTTTTTTTTCTTGAAAGCACCCATTAAGTCCAACTTAAGACCAGCGTAGACAACTGGCCAAAGGCCTTGAGGTTTGGCTTCAGCGACAGTTTAAAGTCGATGAAGCCAAGTCTTTCTTGAGGCAAAGTGCTGTGGTCGAAAGCATTGGCTGAGTTCAGGTCATGTGTCAAAAGTCATTGCATCACAAGTGAAACCAAGATTATGGTAACTGTGTATTTAGTAATCTGATCTAAGCCACAAAATACCTCTGCTTGTTTGGTTTTAATATACAGAATTGTGACCTAAATGCATCAGTTGACAGTAACTTCATTTTCATCCATATCTGCTTAAAATAAAGCAATACAAACAATATAGTTATTAAAATAATACAATATAAAGAAACTATTGTTTTACAAAAATATAACAACAATCTCTAATTTGTCAAATGTCTCTTCATCCTGATCCCTTCTTTAGAAACATTGCTGTAAACAAAAGAGAAATTTTACTTCCAGCACACTTTTCATCCCACTTTCAGGTGTTTTCTCTGACCAGCACGTACTTTATCAGACGCATGGAGCCTCTTTTCACTCTCCACGATGTTTGGTAGCGTCCCATCCTCTTCCTCTGACCCCTCCAGCTCACGACCAGCAGAATGGAGCAACAGCAGCTCAGAAGCACTGTGATACAGATGGCCACTGCAACCAGCAAGGTGTGAGCGGCTACGTGCCACCCAGGTCCCAAACCCCCTAATGTGTCCTCTCCACTGACACCCTGGTCTCCACTGCCTGCAGTGTGCCCCCCCCCCAAGCTGCCATTGGTGTTATTGGGATACTGCTTGCTGCTGTCTATATTCCCCTTAACGGCTGTGGGGGTTGGAGGGCTGGTGGTCAAATGAGGGGAGGTGGTGGTGAGATAATGGGTAGGGGTTGTGGAGGGCTGTGCAGTTGTGATAAAAAAGGCAGGGGTTGTCTTGGGATTGTAAGGGCTGAGGGTGGTTGCTGTGGTGGAGGAAGAAGACGAAGGAAAGCTGGGTACAAGTGAATTGGTGGAGGTGGTTGGGTTTGTTGTTTGGACATGGTTCTCTGAAGCTAGTGGAGTATTTGGATTGGAAGATACGGTAGCTGTAGTTGTGGGAACTGTTGAAGGCTGACTGGTGCTCTGCAGCCTAGTGGTCATGGTGGGGGGTTTAATTGTGGGTGCAGAGGTCAGGGGCAGGACAGCAGGTGGAGGTGGATGAATGAACTGGCGTTTGTCTGAGGGCAGCGGCTCTGAGGCGTTGACTCGACTGTAGTGGTGGGGTAACACACGTACATTGGAGGTGAAGTATTTTCCAAACACCAACAAGTCAGGATCCACACCTAGGGAAGGAAGAAATTCTTGAGTCATGACTCTCCTATAGTTTTAGTTTTTTCAGTTTTTGCTTCCTTCCAAAGTTAAGCACAATGGCTTTTTAAAAATGCGTCTAACGTTTTAATTATGAATAATTAGTGAATGTTTACTTTACTTTTATTAGTATTAGTAGGTCTACTTGGTGGAAGCAGTATATAGTTCCTCTGTTACAGGGCATAGTATTAGTAGAGAAATTTACTTAACGTTTCCGCAGTAAACGTAATTGTAATGCAGTAAAATTGTTTCATATGATTACTGTACTATTATAGATTATACAACTGGATTATTGTTACTGTCGCTCTTATGTGTAAGTAGCATTTTATTGTTGTAGTTGGTTGAGGTGGTGATTATTTTAACTACTGTTGGGTAGTATTTTATAGTATGATCACATGTTTTGTGTGTAAAGAACTGAATCTTCAAAGTAACAGGTAACAAAATTAATTAAGTGGAGTACAATGTACAATATTTCCCTCTGAATATAGGGTAGATGTATAAAGTGGCCAAAAAATGGGAATACTCACGCAAGATTCAAGTACCTAAAAATAATTCAAGTACTTGAGTAAATGTACTGCTTGGTTACTTTTCATAGCTGATAGGTCTAATAGTAGTAGTTAGTACCAAAAGTACTCATTATGCAGAAAACCCATTTCATGATAATATATATATATTACTGGATTATAGTTATTGATCTATGTGTACATCATTTTAATATTGCATCTGGTAAAGGTGGAGCTAATTTCAAATACTTTACTATATACTGCCAGGTACTATAATTTATTAGTTGATTTATATTTTGTATTAATAATCAGAATCAGCAAAACTAGTAACTAATGTTGTCAAATTAATGTAGTTGAGTAAAAAGTATAAGTTTGGCTTCCAAAATGTAGTAGAGTAGCATAACTTTGAAATACAAAGTAAGTAGGCCTATGTCAAAATTGTACTTACATACAGTCATTGAGTAAATATTTACATTGCACCACTGCTCTGTAGTCTATATGCACACAGACATATTCCAAAAAAATGTATAACCACAGAAACCATTGTTGCGAATTAGAGTACCGAAATGCATTTTTTAGTACTTACCCTTTACATTGCTTACCTTTTGTGACATTGTACAGAACAACGTTGGCTCTGTGGCTTAGAATACAGCTCTCCAGCGTTGGACAATGCAGGTGGAAGCAGTTCACGTTTTCTTGAGTGGTGTCATAGTGAAATATCGCCAGATTACAGGAAACTGGTAGAGGAAAGAGGATTCATCATGGTGGGATACGTATGTAGAGGATCAGCGGAGGAATATTGTACCGTTACAAATAAAAATAATTCCAATATATCGTCCAATAATTGCGTGTGTTTTACCCTGATTAAAAAGCATTACTTACAATTTCTCGTAAGGCAACAGGTGCGGCTGCATTTCAGCGCGGTCTCCTCCTGGTAATACTTCAAAAGCTGCGCTCCTCTCCTCTGAGACTCCTCGATATCGATGAAAATCCCAGGAAAGCGTCGAATCCAGCAGTTCTTGTAGTAAGAAGTCGGTGAGCACCTCGACTCGGTGTGGCACACCAGACTCAAAACCGTCAGCAAACCCAATGTGGCATTCATTGCGCGTAATGTAAATCATACCATGTCAAACTATAATCTCGACAAAGCATCGACATATCTGGGAAGCTGATTACTAGGAGTTGACAGGCATGATGTAGAGCCAGTGGTCTGGTTTTACTGGTGCCAGTGTCACAGCTACGCACCTGGAGGAGGTGGAGACCCAGCCATGCATAAGGTACCAGTCAGGCTGCACCACAGCTCTTTAGACGCTGATGAGCAACAGAAGCTACCTTTCAGTCAGAATGGCACCAACTACTTAAGATTTTTTTTTTATAATTGAGACAATTTTAAATACTGTAACAAACAGCACAACAAAGCTATACAAGTTAGTGATACTTATACAAGTGTAGGGATAAGATTGGGAAATACAGTGACACAACAGAACACCTCACAATCTACAGTACATAGGGTATAATATCATTAAATGAAATATAATCTTTGTGAAGTTGATCATATCACACAATCTTCCTTAATAGATATCATGAAAATTTTTTTCTTCATTAAAGTTTAGGTTTGGTACGTGTATTTAGCTCATCCTAGTGGCATTTTGGAGCTACAGTTTGTGGTGTTGTTAAATTGGAATATAGGAAGGTCTTCCTGTTATTTTGTCTAACCCTGCATATGTGTAGCATTGGAGCATTTTGTGCATAAGGAGGCAATTTCTTAAGTGAGAGAACCCAGTTTTGCTGGTTATACTTTCAGTCTTACAAAAATCTTGTTTAAAATTCTAGACTGGTGACCTTCTGTAAACCTGTCTAACACAATCATTATTTAGGCCTGTGAATACTCCTGTTGATTGGATTTGGATGAATCCCCACAGTGCAGGTATTACTTCACCACATAGCGCTACTGTAAACCTTGCTCTAGTTTTAGCAGGAACTCTCCAGATAATTCCAGTAACCTCTGTTCTCTTTGTGAAAAAAAACAAGCCGTTTGTTTTCGGCAAGGTCAGGCATCTGAGAGTGGATTGCCGTAATTGTAGCAATCTGCCTGAATACTTTCAAATGGGATTATCAGAATAAGCCCTTTGCTCCCTGGTTTAGGATTTGCTGCACCTGTTAGGCTGTTTCTCTCACCTTTTGTGAGTTTGTCTCTCCATCACAGTACCACATTCTCAGTTTACAGCTGGAACTAAAAGTGCCTTTTTGGATTGGAGCTTATTGAGTGCAGGGCATATAGCCTACAACGTAAATTGGAACTATTCTGTATAGATGTAATCCTCCTCAAATTGAGAGGCATTGCATTTAATCATCCTTAGCTGACATTAAAAAACTATTTTGTTTGGTAAGATTACATATTATGTTAACCTCTTCAAAATGGATATTCTCTTAAAAATCAACAATAGCTGTTTCCTAACTTCATAGTACACACTAAAACTACTCACTTGTTTAAATTGTTTTGCATTCACCATAACAAATCAAACTGTAACTTTGGAAGGACATTTAATTAAACCTCACAAAGAGAAAGCAAAATGTTTTTACAAAGATACAATTAGTGCTAAAATGTTTAGTTTATTTTAACTGATGAGCAGACTGGCAGAAACTAAAAGCAACAATTAATAATCAAATGTAAGGATTTGCTATTGCTACGTTTCTTTTTTTTTATCATTGTTAATAGAATCTTTAGGTTTTAGACTGCTCAGACAAAACAAGCAATCTAAGATCTAAAGATGTCACCATAGACTTTGGGAACTTGCAAAAGACATTTTTCACTATATTTTCTGACATTGTATAGTCTAACAGATTAATCAATGGTGCAGCTCTAGATACTTACCCTTTTGTTTTCTGATGTCTCCCTGGAGCTGTGTCATCCACAATTAGCTACAAGTTTTTTCAGTTGCAAGCAACTCCTCAGTTCCCTTCGTGGTTTGCATTGTTAGACAATAGTGTCACTCAACAACACACTTAAAAATCAAGCAGATTTAGTATGTGGACAGAAATCTTTGAATAGATTTACTTTCGTCACCTAAAACCTGATTTGAAATAGTAGGTTATATGAAATTAGAGAACTAAAATGATCCAAATTGTCTGATTTCCCCACTGTAAAATTGTAAATTTGTCAGAGGTAGCCTATACTAAATTTTTGCATTTTTAAAAAGATTTTTTTTAAAATGCATTTTATGTATTATATCTAGCCATGGAAAGCTATAACCTCCTTAATGTAACCTGAAGATGTGCTAAGACGTTTGCCAGTTCCAGTGTGACCCATCATATAGGATAAAACCCCACGCATGTGATGAGTACGCCACATATTAAAGTCACTTGCAAAACGTTGTACAGAATGCAAAAAACTCAGCAATAGAGTTCTGTAAGAAACACTTGTATTTTCATCTGACACCTCAGGGCAAGTTACAGACAACCTCTGTAATCAGCTTACAGATCTAAATCTGTTTCAAGTTAGCAGTGTTATTATGTGCCTTTTTGTTGTAGTCAGATCATTTTCAACCAAAAACAGTAAGACAATACAAGACATATTTAACATTAAACATCAAACAAAGTGAATACAATAGCTCTTTTAAATCATTTTAGCCTCTTATCCTCATAACTCTGTTTAGAGGAGATGATGTGGCACTGTACATAATTACTCAAATGCTCAAAAAACACAAAAGATTGGCATCAAAAACAGTGATATTTTATGGATGTGCAAAGGAGGGATTCTCAGTCTACTTTCGTTATTTTTCCCCATTGTTATTTATATTTAAGTCACTAGGTGGCTCCCTGAGGCAGCCAAACTCCTCTGTAGCAAACATCCCCCTGCACATGCATGTGTGTAAAAGAAACTAAATCAAAAACAAGCACTAGTAAAATGAGATAAAAAAACACCACCAATGACAACTTTCTCATGCAGGTCTTGTTGGCTAGGTTTGGCTCCTTTGGTATAGAGACCACAGTGTATCATGGTCCTCTTCTTCTTTTTTTTTTTCTTACTTTCACATAAAAGGCTTTTTCAGCTTCCACAATCCCAAATCCACCTCCTCCTCAGCAGTAGTTGTGCTCTTGGGCATGCTGATAAAACAAGTGTTTCTCTGGGCTCCTGACCGAGTTGTATGGTTTCAGCTTTAAGCTTACAGAGGAAGTAGTCCATTGTTTAGTGTTGTTGCTTACTGAGGTGCTACAATGGGTCAAGAACAGGTAAGTTCCAATTGTGTGACTGTGTCAGTCTTTGACTAGCCTGTAAATATGATGCTGTGCGCCGTGCTCACTGGTGGACACCTCGAAGACATAGGCTATGCACAGGAGGGTTTCCAGCGTGTCCCTGTTTGTCACCACCTGTGGATAAACACAAACGATTTTGTTAAGCCATGCTGTGAAGGATACGTCCTAATGTTTTTACTAATAAAATTTAATGTATTCACTTCTTCTAGTTTGCAGAGAAGTTTCAAATCCTTCTGCAATGTGGAGAAGCCTTGGACAATAAGGCTTCTCCATAAGCAATAAGTAGTTTTAAATATTAAAAAAATGTATATTCAGTCATGTGGAAAGAAAAAGTGACACATTTTGCACACTGCTGCTATGTAGTTCTTGTCGGGGATCGGCCTTTATCACGGTGGCAATGGACGACGTAACTGATCAATAATTAAAATCCTAATTATCAATCTAACACTAACAAGTTAGTTAAAAAGAGGGTTCACTGGACCACACTAGGGGATATAATAACAATAATAATAGTTTCATCTTGTACACATCCCATTGTTTACCACTCTGTAGTTTTGGTAGAACTTTATGTATGTTCATACATGCCTTTAAAATTGTATTCAAATGTTAAGAACAGTGAAAATCATGCAAAAATAATTTGTTTCTTTCAAATATACTGACAGTAGCATATGGTTCAGTTTTTGATTTTTTTTTGCTCTTAAACATAATGCAGCTACTTTTTAACAGTAGTCTTCTTATACAGCATGATCTTTAACTTTTTTAATTATTTTTGCTCTTAAACGATCACTGTATGATCATACTTTCACATAGGCCTACTCGTTCACTATGTTTATATGACCATACCGAGCATTATGAGACACTATCTAACCCTAACAAATCTATGTATATAAGGAATTGACAATGACAACAAAACGATTAACACTTAAGAAACACTGAAATAGGAGACAGAAATGTACTTACTGTACAATGAATAAATGATACATGATCTCTCTGGTTTTTCTATATGCAAGACTAATTTGTATCTGCAAATATACAGCAGAAGTGTGACAATGCAACAAGCAAAAACAAGCACACAACTTTATCAGTTCATTATGCTCAATTGTGTTGCATTGAACACAGCACTTGATACATGAGGCATATTGATCCATTGTGCTCGGCCTTGCAATGTGGAATCTGGGGTCCACGCATCTGTTGTCTTTATGTGTGCATATCTGTGTGTGTGCACATTTGTTAATGAGTTGTTCATGGTTAATATGAACTAAATCAGTCCATTGAGAAACCTAATGACATGCTGCTGTAGTCGTCAGTGTGGGCTCAATATGGTCATTGTCCCTTGGCAAGTAGGAATGCAGCTGCCAATGGAAGGGACACCGATGTCTTTGAACCCTGGTGTTGAGGACCACTTTGTTACTATGGTAATACACTATTCTATTCGCTTCCCTCTCAGCGGACGCAGCGAGGGGGCACATGGACTCGTTCAGAAAAGTCTAACTTACAGTGGAATGGCCAATTCTTCAAGAAACAATTAAAAAATGCTGTTCACAGGCAGTGAAAAATTGCTACCAGCTGTTAAAGATCTGTCACGGTTACCCATAGGAAATATTACCGCACAATCATATTAATTTAGAAACACAACAGTTTTCCTGTTTCACATCCTTTATGGGATTCCTGCAAAAATCATTTTGAAAGTGAGCAAGTATCTGCACACATGTTGAACGTCTATGTGGCCCTGTGTGCTACTGCCTTAAATGGTGTGAATGGAACTACATGAATGATGAAGGACAATGAGTTCCAATGCATGAAAGTGTTCCAGACAATCATATTATGCAGACTCATATCCAAATAAAATTTAAGTCAGGATAAGCTGTCTATGCCTCTTTATACTGTCTACACCATAAGCAGAATTTCCTGAGCATGGCCAACGCAACACAGCTCATACAGTCAAGTTTTGATGAGAGGCAGCTGCCTTCACCTAAATATTCAGCTTATAGGTAAAAGAGTGGTATTGATCTCATAACTCTCCACAAGAAAGTGTATTTTCCAAACTATCAAACTATTCATTTTATATTATATATAACAGAATACCTGAAAATATTATTTAATCTTATTTTATCTATATAATACCAGAACATGCATGCAAACAGATTAAAGCACTAAAATCTCCAGCCTCCATAAACACATGTTTTGTATATCCCTGATTCATGTGGGCACCTGTAGGATAGTGAAGTTCTCCAGTACACTGTTCATCATGTACTTCTCCGGCAGGTGTTTAAGCTTGTGGATGAAGTTGATCATGTATTCACATAAAGGGGAACGGTGGATTCGAAACACGTAGCGCCCATTCTCAAAACGTGCATACTCCGTCTAGGGAAAACAGATACAATACAATAAAAGCATGCAGTCCAATATATGAGAACATATACCATGTGTAAAGAGAATTTAAAACACATTTAAAGGATGAAATGTGAAATCTACTGTAAAAAAATCCCCAATAAGAATATATATTCAACTGAAACTCAATTGGATACATTGGATGTGAACATCTATGTGATAAGCTATAATATGTGTAATATAATATACCTAATGCAGCATATGGCATGCCGGATATGACAATAAACATATTTCTTGTGACAACCGTAATCAAATGATGAAGCCATTAAATATAATTATGTGGCCTACTGAGGCAGATGGCTCTACCTAGGGATGTGTATGTGTTTATATTGTACAATCCATCAGCAGTGCGTGGGGGCAGGGCCACTATTGTGTCTAGTTAACGGGAAGTATAACAGTTAGTCATGCTGGGGAGATTTGTGAATCACGTCAGTTTCCTGACCACAGATCATTGGTAATTGACTGGAATCCATCTCCACCAGTAGCAGTTATTCACTCCCTAGATGATAATAGTGGTTTCTGACGTGGTCAGGACCTCTTAATGCTGAAATATTACCATAGTTTATCATTTAAGTAATCAGTCGTGCAAACTTCGTGAGCTGTCATTTGCTGTTGATAATCCCAAAATATTGGATTTTCGGCCAAATGTAGGCAAGTACACAAAATGAAGGTTAAAAAAATATATAGGCAAATAACACACCATAAGGTCACTGTCTATATTTATAATGGTTTAATTCTACTGAAACCTCAAGAGACCTAAACAGCATTGTCTGTTACTGACTTAGCTTTGAAGTTTAAAATCTTTTCAGGAAACTATTACAGTAAAACACTGTCATCTAAACCCCCCAAAACATTGCTGAAGGAGGTGTGATACATGTTCTGCAGTCCTGAGGAGTTTCTGCGAAGCTTTCCATCTGCTGTGAAGTGATTTAGGTATAGTGGTTACTGTAAGAATTGCAGATCATGTGAAGCCAAAAAATACTTTACCACTTTACAAAGTCATTAAGAAAAGAACAGCTATAAAATGATGATACATTTGTCACAAAATGTCTCAAGTGACTCTTTGTAATATGGGAATTTGATCCTTCAATGGAAGTCAAAGAAGTCTCGAAGAGCTGTATCAGTAAATTATTTTTGAGCTGTTCATGTGTGCGGGGAGCCAGCAGGAAGTCAGCAACCTCAGGTTTAGAAGGACCGTAATAAGCACACTCCACGGGTCCAAAAATGTGGAATCCTGCAGTAGCCTGACAAACTGTTTTTAGTATATTCATCTGTTGACCAGCTTTAATTGGAATGAACAGGGTGCCATCTTGGAACATGGTATCCAGTTCTCTTAATATATTCATGATACAGTCCCAACAAGCTCGGCCAACTGGATATTTATGACTGCATCTTTGACATCTTAAAGAATAACTTCATCCAGACTTATCTGTCTTGCCCTACCAACTAGTGTTGACAGCATGCTTTATGTACACCCTGTGGAGTGGTGATATAGCCGGGCACTATGGTACTAAATCACATCTGGGTGTGGTTACAAGTACAACAGATTAGAACTGACCACACCCAGCACTGATGTAAGGTGTGGTCGGAGGATTCTTGATAACCCCAAATATCCTTGTCTTACCTCCACTTTCTCCACCACCTGCTTGCCAAAGGAGCAGACTTTGGTGGATGAGGTGATAATCATGTTCTCTGAGCTCTCATACTGACTGGAAACACCATAGAAGAAGCTGCTGTCATCCTGCAGGTTAACACTAAGGTCTGCCTAAAGGGAAGAAATAGAAAACATGTCAGGATTGGATATGCTGCCCTTCCTTTACGGGAGATGTGTGCTACAGTACACACTACCCTGCTCCACACTGAGTATCTAAAATCTCAAGGATATACAGTACCAGCTCCATAATCTATAACAAAAAAAAAAATCAGTTCTCCTTTTCTGCTCACAGATATGGATATCAACGAACATGTGTGTCAGTCTGACAAAGACACATCAGCAAGAGTGTTATGGCTCAACAAAGCTTGAGAGTGATTCTCTGTAAAGCCAAGAGGCATCCAATTGCCAGATCCTTGTTAACCCAGTATAACGCTGTCAAATCCAGCCTTAAGATTCCCAAGATGCTGTGTATCTCGTGTGTGTGTGTGTGTGCGCGCATTGTTGTAAGACGATAATACAGAAGAACAACAACAGAAATACAGAACTGGAATTTTTCTGATCTAACGCATTCAGAAGGATGTCACAGCCTTTGGTTTTGCCCATGGTGGGAGCCCAAGTTACTTTTATTACTAAACATGATATTCAAATCCAGTAAACAAAATCTTTCACTATTTTTGCAAAAAAGAAACAAGGCAACATCTATTTTGTTGTCAGTCACGTAGCAACAACTGAAACTAATAAAAAGACATTTGTGCTGTCAACTATGACCTCACAAGTTCAATGTAAAGGCAACGCAGAGTCAAGTTTCATAATCCTTGATGCAGATTCACCCATCTCTGATCCTCCCACTGGTTTAAGTTTGAACTGAAGCAAGTATAATCTGATTTTGGATCAGACTGAGGTGCCATCTTCTCTGTTAGACAGCTGGGCTGTTTTACCTTTTCCCCTGTCGGGCTCTTGTCTCCTAATGGGCCATTGAGACACCGCTCAGCCTCCGCTCATCTCTTCATCACCCCGTTCATCTTCATCCCTCGCTCATGTAATTCCTCTATTTGTCTTCATCCCTGGGGCCTAGTGACCCTCCCCGAACCGCCATTCCCTGCTTCCCTAACAGCCTGCGAGGGAATTCATCCAATTACAATCAGCAGCTTGCAATTGGCTGATTAGATCATGGTAGGCAGGCTGGCTGTGTAACAATTTAGCAGAGCCAGCTCAAATCAGATTCCCTCGGCACTTCAAAGGCGTGAGACAATCCGTTAGGACAGGGCCACGGGCGCTGGGGGTTGAGGAGGAAGGAGGAGAGAGGGGCAGGGCAGCCAGCGGCCGACAGAGGGGTTTGCTAGAAATTCAATCTAGAATGCCATAGCTTTGGAGGTGGGCCAGCCGCCTGTCACCATCACCATGCCAACCTTCGCCTCAGCACACCCCCGAGTCATGACCTACCACGTGGCTGTGTCACTGCAGCAACATCAAATAGGCTCTTCCCATCTTTTACGATGGCGTAAATAAAGTTATCGTATTTTCAGATGTGTCGAGGATTTCATTTTGCTTATTTTCATGGCCAAGAGCATCTTTGCTGTTTTTTCCCAGTATGGGTGTTGAAATGCCCAGCTGTTTTGCAGCATTTCTGTGTTTTGTCATGGATGCCTTGAGAATTGGAGGACCCCCTTGGGATACGATAAGATGAACAGACTCAGAAGGAACAGTGTTACAAGCTTGTTTTCCTCTAGCAGGGAGTAGCATATCATAACTGTTGACCCCATTGACTATGACATGAATCAAAAGAGTAATATTTCACTGATGAATAACGTGTTGGTAACATGCCACCATTTTTCATGCCATCCCTATCTCTTGTTTATACTGTCTGTGTCCCTATTTCTATCTGTTGCTCTTTATTGCTGTCGTGCTCTGTTTTTCTTTGATATATGGCGGGACTACTCATCCCCTCCTTCACCTCACGCCACAATCAAATGCCATGGCTTGACCAGCTGCTCCTTTCAAGGCCTGTTGAAGACCACTTCCAAAATGGTGTCACTCACAAATGCCTTTTATCTCTCCACAATAAATAATGTTGCAGTCAAACACGTGAGAAGGGTAATGTCAAACATAGAAAGCCATCTGGTGTCATGAGATTGTAAGGCAGCACTTTGAACTTGACATTCACAGTATTTAGCACTTTAAACCGAAGCAGTTAAAGCTATAATATACAGTATATTTGCTTTGTAAGTCACCAGTCACCTCCACGCAACATATTTTTTAACAAAGTGGATCAGAGGATGATGGCAGTCATCTTTCACAATGTTCCACATTGGTGAAGATGATGCTTTGACATTTGGCAGGTTGGCAGGTTGGAATGCACCAACCTGCTCCCATAGGAGAGGGAAAAAATTACATTGCACCTTATGTGTGTACTGGTGTGTATGCTCCACACAGTAGACGGTCCCAGAGCCTGTCCATTGACTCTTTGAGCACTCAAAAATAAATATGGCAGCATGTTCAGAGGAACATCTTTTGGGGGAGATTCATTCATCCCTTTGTTTTTTTTTTTTTTGTTTTTTGGCGTTTCCGTTTATTTGATAGTGACCATACAGAAAGACAGGGGAAAAGGCATGCAGCAAAGGACCTGGACCGGAATCGAAACCTGGGCTGCTGCAGTAAGAACTCAGCAAATCAGACTGATACATGGTGCCTGCTCCATCAGGCGAGATACCTAGGCGCCCCATATTTTTACAGTCCTATATGTCTTGATTGTTAATTTCCTTATGTGCAAAGGATTAAAATTTTATGTTTTATTTTGAATGCCAAAGTGACGTCCATCCATCATTACATACAGATTTTTAAACCACAAGCGAAGGTTGTGGACATATTAAAGTCACATTAAAAGTCACTTTAGTAAAGAGTGAATGTATGTGTAGATGTTAGGTGCCCTGAGGGTGGGTTTGTAAGTGTGTACGTGTTGTACGTGAGACAAAAACTAAAGGTCTTATCCTGAGGTAAGGCGAGGTGGCCAGACGAGCTGAGATTAACAAAATGGACATGTCCACTTACACGGCCATACTCCCTTTCTATCTGTGGCTCTCTCTCTCAATCTCTTTCTTATGCCCATTTTCAGGTTGTCAGTTTGCATATTTGCATACATTTTTTTCAATGATACACATTCTCCTCCATCTGTCTTCATTCCTTAGCCTGCATCTTAAGTTGACTCTGCCACCATGCTTTACTCTCTCATATCTCTCTGGGTGTTGTGTGTTTATGTGCATTTGTATTTTGGGGGGGCAGGCTTATCTATAAATACATATGGGGGGAGGGGGGGGGGGGCACAAGGGTTGGACTCTCTAATAGCGCAGAGACAGGTGCCTGGGCTCACATTTCCCTGGTGAAAGATCAGACCTGCCACTCTCTTCAAGGCTGCTGTCACACACACACACACACACACACACACACCAGACACATACATATACACCAGCGAATAATGCATGCAGCGCAGCATTGCCTTCTTTGCTGGCATATAAACCACCAGTCAGGTCATGGGAGCAATGACTTTCCATTCATTTTAGCTTTAAATCACACTTAAGTTCCTTTAACTCCAATGCTTAAGCTATCTCAACACAGTTAACACCGCAAGGCCATTAACAGCCAACAGGTGCTACAAAACATTAACAATAGAATTCACTGTACTCTCACTTCACCTTCATAACTTGGGGGTGATTATATGCTCTGAGGATGTATAAAACATACCACACAGAGTGTTGGACTGAACTTTACATAGTTACTTTAAAATGGGTTTCATTTGATATCATTTAAAATAAATTAAATGGAACTTAGAGGAAGTGTAAGGGAAGTGAAAGGGAACGAACAGGATTGGATTTGACTAAACTGTATTTCTCTAAAAAGATTTTTTAAAATGTTTTACCCAGAATTTGACGAGAAAGAAAGCGTTGTGTGGCCCCTTGTCAAACAGCTCCTTCAATCCTCCTTTCCTCTCTGGGAACTTGTCATAGATCTGTCTGATGTCCACCGACTCCAGATAGGGGTCACTGTAGCTCGGGTTGGACTGGCCGATGTGCACAAACAGGTGCTTGTTAAACTGGAGAGACAAAAGTGCATTTCAGGAGATGAACAGGGCCAAAGAAGACAAGTGTTCAGTTAGCTAAATTGCCAGTGACGCCAAGTGCACCGAGCACCAGGACATATGTCACATTGGGCCTGCTGTTCCACTGAATCATATTTATTGTAAAACCTGACAAAAAGGTCCCAACTTTATCTTTCCACTTGCACGGTTCATCATCATGATATGTTCTGGTGTGTCCATTTTTTGTGCGCTAATACAGATTCCTCTGTGATCTTTGTGAGTTGCTGTCATACCCTTACATACATAAACCCACCAAAGTAATAAAGACTGATGTGACATCTATTTCCTGAGATATTATGTGAAATAATATGTTAGTATTCTTATATTCACACTGCTGGATTTCACTGCATAGTGCAACTTTTTAATATTTAAATTTTGAATATTTGAATCACTGATCACGCTAACTACTACATTCTTCATCTGTTTTATTTCAAACAGCTCTGTACTAAAGTCTGTAGTATCTGTGGTCTGTGAGCATTTTTCCCCAAAAGAACTATCCAACAACAAGGGTTTAGAATAGCAGTAGTGTAAGACATTTTCTTATCTACCAACAAACTGACATATATTGTTAATAATCAGCAAATAAAGAGTAGCAAACCACTAATTAAGTAATACAAATTGTTGCCACAAGCAATCACAAGCCCTCTCTAAAATCATGACTACGCACTTTTGAGAAAATAAAATGGTGAAAAAAGCAAAAAACTCTGAACAAGACATTGTGACTAAAGTCAGTATTGGTCTGAAGCACCTGTCAATAGAATTTGTGGTATACAAGAACTCTGAAGTAATCAAAAAACTTAATAGATACAATAAACTTTTGCATGGAGAGTAAAAACCATTTTGGGGTATGGATAAGACCAGTTATCTCCTGTCCTGTCTACTCACAGCCTCTGGGTCCTGAGGTTGCTCCAGGAAGGCGGAGAACTCCAGCATTCGCAGCTTGGAGCTGGCAATACTTCTACCCTGCCAGGGGGGGGCACTTGGAGACATTGGCAGCCCTGCTGTGCTTTCACAACCTGCAGATGAGAGGGCATTGAGTGCGTAAATATGTGGTTTAAGTGAAACAATGTAAAAACCTAAAATGAAAATGCAGCAATATTGCAACAATTTATCTGAGCATTATGCAAGTTCTTCATCACGAGCTGGGTTGTCTCATCACTTTGCCGGCATGACAGCCTTCTGTCAACACAGCAGAGGGGAAAAGAGCACCCACCTGTTATGGGGGCCGGGCCGGACGCTTGCATGGCGTAACTCTGCTGGGAGAAGGGCTTAATGCTGGAGAGACGAGACAGACAAGAGAGGGAGAGGCATGTTATGCACCGTCTAGGCCTCATGACCCCATCTCACATACTAATTGGACCGTCTGACCTCTAAAGACGCCGGGGGAAGAGTGGTATGCTGAATCCCTGACTGAAATTTATCTGATGGTTATTAAGCTACTCACATGAGAAATTACTGATGGATATTGTAGCACTACAGAGTAGAAAGAATGGCTACTCACTCCTCATGGCCTCCTTGCTGTCCTGGAAAAGTCCCGTGCCAAAACTGGGAAAAACAAAAGAGCAAACTATATTACACAGTTCCACCTTGACACCAATTCTCACACATGATTTGTGTTGTGTTCATCCTTCATTTAAAAAAAGAAGCACAGATGTGAGAAGTGTGGTCCAGTTTTCAGCCAAATTAAAATTAAAAAATAAATAAAAATCAAGCTTAATGTGTCAAATCAAAAGATGAAGCTCAATCGATCTCAAAGTGTCATGTATTTTTGACACACCTGGAATAAATAAAACACTATAAATACCTCTTGTGAACTTTAACTCTTAAGTAACTTATTCACAAAAGTTAAAAGATGTCATATCATCAGTGGCCAAACTACAGGGTCATAAATCTAAAATGTGCAAAATTGCTAAGGGAAGCAGTCTCGTATGGATGTCAAATTCAGACAAACTGAATTTACAAAGAGGAAGTGATTGACATGTATCAGTATAAAAAGAAAAATCAATCGGCAAACTAAAGACGCTGGGATGATATTGAAGGTTGAAGGTATTTTAACAAAACAAATGTGGCAATTGCTTTTCAGGTTAGTCTGAATAAGATAGTGTAGGGGAAAACTATGGTCAGGGACTCACCCCACCAGCAGTGGGGTAAGCCGGTCTAGACAGGGCCTGGAGAGCCATCTTGTTCTGGAAAGCCGTGGGTGAGATGATCTGTGCTGAGGACATGGTTGCCATACTCTGCAGGGCCTTGTCTTTGGCAGCCTGGTCCTATGGAGAGGGACAGAGAGCGTGAGTGGGACAGTTACGCAAAGGCAGAGGACTCATCAGACTCCATTTAAGTCGGCACCCCACTTCACCAGTAACACAAGCAAAGCCCTAAAAGGGGAAATGAAAGGCTGAGGCCAGCTTGCATCATCTGTGAATCGCTGCCAGGCAGAGGGCTGAAGAGAAGGTGATATTACAGTCAAGGGCCTTTGGGTCAAGAGTTAAGTTTATTGCTTTGGCAGGGGCAAGTCAGTGATGACAACTAGCTTCTGTTGGAGGTCATACTGTAAGACAAGGCAAGGCAACAGGGTCATATGTTAATATGCTAATAATTGTATCAATATTGCTAAATGCTAATGCCGTTAAAATAGTTTAATATAGCTAGATAGCTAAAAAGTTGTCTTTCCTGTGCTATACTGTAAAGTGATACACCTCTTGTTTTTGAATCCACTCCTTCAGCAGTTTCCAAACCACAGAGGACTACAAGCACTTGCCGCCCCAGCCCTAATGGGCAAGGCCACACAGTGCATTCTTCTTCCCAGAACTGGCTAACACAAGGGCATAGCTGAAATATGGGGGGTACATGTGGTAGGCATCTCAGTTACACCAAAGACGTATTTAAAAAGGCCTGTCACAGGGGCCAACCCTGTGACCAATGCCGGGCCCTGCCAGCTGAACCCTCATGGCTGCCGCCCAAGGTGAAGGAGAGTCCTGTTGCCTACTGTGACTGCGAGTATGCGGGTGTATGTGGATGAGAAATGCAAACTGAGAAAGTACTGGGGGGACATGGATGTGCAAGCTCTCAGCGTCCCACACAGGAAAACTTTTATTGAGGTACTTATCAAATGTAATACCTGGAAGGAATAATGCAGGGATTCATTAGTTTCCTGACAATTTGGTTTGGTTCATTTTGTTCATAATTGTGCACACTAAGCCTTTCATCGAAATGCATGAGCAATGAAAATTGCCAATTGTTTGTCCCTTTGTGTTAATGGAATGTGAATACATGGCAGTGCAAGGGCCATGGATGTTGAACTACCTTTAACTAAACATGAAACTTCATTATAAGAGGGAGTAATATCAGGTAATAATGTTTCACCCTTTTTCAATCTGCTGCTGCTCAACTTGATTGAAATCCTGATAACCATGGTCTGATTATGATCTGAAAACCTGTATGATTCAGTCTCAAATAGAATAAAATAAAAACATATGAGCAACATACTAATCTCAGCATACTTAACTCAGCTATGACAATTCTGTTCTCTGGCAGCGTGCAAAGTTGTTTAGCTAAACATCAAACAAAAGCAACACTTCTAAAATATTTAACAATATAGAAAAAAAAAGTGTGAAAATGACTCACGTAGCGTACCTTCAGCTTCACCTGGATCTCCCTGGCCTTCCGTCGAGCTAGGACCTGGATGTGACTAGATACCTGAAAGACAACAACAGACAACACAACAGAGTTAAGCATTGCATGTATGAGACATATTTTCAGCTCAAATGCACGGCATGTTGGCTTAGTGGTTAACACTGTTGCGTGAATATGTTTGTGTGGCAACATGACTACTGTGTACACTCATCTGGAACCCCGGTGAGAATGCACAGGATGAGCAGGTTTAGAGACTAGATGGATGGAAGCTCGAAGGGCATTAATTTAACTCCAATGTGGTTAAAATGTCTTTGGTCCATGGGCCTTCACCACAGACAAATGTACAGGGTGGATCACTGAGCTACCTTTTTGTATCACAAAAGTAATAAGCAAAAATTATATAGAAACATTTTTGCTCAGGAATAGAACCTTAGAATGGCACTATGTCTGTTACAAATTTCTACTTGTGAATAAATCAAAATCTAATGTGAATACTTGATGTTCATGTTCATTCAATAGAAAACTGGAAAGAAACGTTGCTGTTGCTGTAATCTCAGTGGATGCACACTGATCATGATGCCCATAAAAAACAAAACTATATGAATGGATCGATTCCACTAAAGCCAAGAAGAAGAGTACGTCTTTTTGTAATTTGGATGAACAGCCATAAGCTATACATCTGTTAAGCAAAAAATCTACAGAATGAAATCTGTACAAAAAACATTTTTTATTAAACACTGTTCTTATTTCTACCCTGCTCTCAATTTATATCACAATCTGGTTTAAATATGCATTACAAATGCATACAAAAACTACATTTGTTGCTCCATAACACTGAATCTTTATATGGTAATATATATAAGTAACTTTCCTAAAAACCTGTACAGCAGCACAACAGTCAATAAGTTTACTGCTGCTGGACCAGCAGGTGTCCCTCTATCCCTCCGACCTGTACCACTATACATCACGATCCCTCACTGCCCCCCTTCTCCTCTCATCTCTTGTCAGTCCCACATTGACTCTGCCAGATGACTTAGCAGGGACCATTTCTCCTCACATCCATCATTGCCCATACATCAGTCATTCCATATCAGATGCCGTAGTGGGGATAGAGTTCCAAATCCCTTGCCCGCCCAGCCTCAGTCTCCCATCCAGATCACCATATTCCCCAGCTTCTTTCCCCTTCTAACAAGCACCACATCCATGAGGTGGTGAAGAAACAACACCGACACATGATCCTATAGCATCTGTGCATTGGGCCTTAGCCCTAAATCAATCATCATCTCCAGCCCTCAATGTACCCAGGGTGTTGGGGAATCACTCAGCAGGAGTGGACTTTGTGGAGGGGTCCAAAAATAGGGGCTGCTTCAAATGGCCCTTCCAGAAAACTTACCTGCTTCCTGGTCCGTGTCTTCCCTGTGCGAAGTTTGATGTACCGTGCAATCAACTCGTTTCGTCCTGTAAGGAACCAGAAAACAGCCTCACTTTAGTTTGACAAAAATCAGCAAAAAAGGTCCACCTAAAGGCAATTGTCCAGTTTTTGGCCAAATTTCAAGCTCAACATCATTTTAAATTTAATTAGACATTACATTGGGCAGTGGTGGCCCAAAGGTGGGCAGTGGTGGCCCAAAGGTTAGCGAGCTTGTGACCAGGAGGTCGCCAATCCCCAGACCGACAGGATAAAATCTGGGTGTGGAAAGTAAATCAAACAGTGCTCGCCCTCCCTCATTTACCACCTTGAGGTGCCCTTGAGCAAGGCCCTTAACCCCAACAGCTCCAGTGGAGCTGCTTAGTGGCCGCAGACCAGGCTACGGTTGTACTGGGCAGCTTCCAGGTATGAATGTGTAATAGTGTGAATGTGAAGGTTTTGCCTTCCTGCAAAAGAGAGGCTTCCTCTCAGTGAAGTTCCCCTGAATAAATAAAGGTTTAAAAAAAAAATCTAATTATATTGAAATTTTCCTTCACATTCGGAGAGACTTCAAAGAAGGGCAAAAGAAAATGTCAAAAAAAAAGAGAAAAAAATGACACAATGTGCAATACTGTAGCTTTCATTCATCTTCTTGTAAATAGCTATATAAGAAGAGATAGGGAGAATTAATAATAGAAAGACAACTTGGTCCTTAGTTTTAATTGGAGTAGAAAAGTAAAAGAGGTTTATGTCCTATTATTTTACGTTACACATTTGTATACCTGCTAATTTGCCTTATGGCTTTCATCTTGTGACTGAACACAGAAAACAGAACATTAACAAAAAAACACAGTATTACAAAGCAAAATCTTCATTTTACCCACTGTGTACTTAATCTGAAAGTGAGGGGCTCAGGAAGGGCATGTTTTAGGTGTGGAATAATTAAATTGTTTACCTAAGCTAACTATTAACTCATCAGTGAGCCTGCTCTGCATGCCTGGCCAAACCAGAAAGTATGAGGGGGAGGAATAAGGAAATGTATATACACTATATATTTCTGCGCACATATTTATACAAATACTTGTGTGCTGCAGTCACTTTATAATTAGCTAAATTATCATCTTAAAACGTTTGTCTGCGTGCACACATATTTGGAAGAGTTTGCATGCATGCACATATACATAAGTGTGCAAACACACATGCCCAAAGCAAGAGCCAAGGCTGTCAAGTGTGTCAACACCATGAACTGCAAGTGTAAGTATATCACTAAGTGTGTGAGAGTTTGCATTAGTCTCAGCCTGACCACTTGCGTGTACTCTTAGCTCGTATCTCTACAGTGAGTGTGTGTCTCTTCCAAGGTTAGTTAGGTAGTTTTGAATTTTTCATTAGTTTTTATTTTTATTTCATTTTGACTTTTTGTTTTCAATTTCAGTTTAATTTAAATTAGTTTTTAACGTGGGTTTGATAGTTTAGTTTTTATTTTTTGAAAATGCTTAGTTTTAGTTTAGTTTTATTAGTTTCAGTGTTAGTTTTAGTCTTTGTCGCTGCAGGATGCCAAGCTCGGTTCAGTTTACATTAAAACAGTAACAATAATAATAATAATAAAAAGTACAACCATTAGAAATAATCCAGATTTTTGAAAAGGGACACCCTTTTGTAAGCTATCTGAAGCTTGTACATAGGGTCACAAACACTAATTATATATATGTGGGGGTTTTTTTGTTTTTTGAAGTACCAACACATTGTCTAAATAAATACTACAAATGAATGTAGCACATGCAATGTACAGTATAATTTCTACAGAAAACTCTAAGAGCATTAGACCCAAGAAATTCATTACATCAGTCTCTACCTCTATCATTCTTGGTTAAATAGGTGAAATACAATTGATGGACAAAGAAGAAACTGAATAGTGAATGCCCCCCTTGGAGCCACAAACAACAGGTTCCTAGCACCCTGGAGGCAGTTATATTAAAATCTAAACCTTTATTAATAAAAAAAATCTGTATCAAAACAATGTGAAGCACAAAGAGACAGGTTGGCTGAGATATCAATGAGCCCATAAAACACACACTAGCTGACATGCAGTAAATATAATGACCAGCAGACACCTGAACCCAGCGCAAGAAGAGCTCACAATCAATGGGCAAGGGGCAAGTTCATCCCACACGAAGGAAGAGCACTAAGCCAAATCAGAACAGAACTAAACAAGGAAAGAAAACCACAAAGACAGTGTCTCACTATCTGAAACCCAAACTAAACACAACACAACTTTGTACAGTTGTTGCATTCATATTATTTTGTACACATGTATGTGTGAAAGACAATAGAAAACATGTTCAAATCCCACCAACTACGCAGCTGATCCCTACCTGGGTCAGTTAGCCTACCCTTAAAATTACATGAGGCTCTCCTCATAACGGCGGTCCCCACCTGCTACGCTGCAGCCAGACGTCGCCCTGACCCCGGGCTCTCTTGATGGATAAAGCAATCTTGGCAGGACAGCCACACGACACGCAACATGCCAGTTCTTCATCGTGAACAAAAGCATAACATACCCACGGCTCACCAACAGGTACCTATTGGCTAATCACCGCACGCACCGCTGAACTGCTGTCTGGCCAGACCAACTGCCCCGCAACAGTTCTACCGGCTTCATATTCACTTGAAATGGGCTTATTTAGGTCCTATGAAATAAATAAATAATTTTAGTTTATTTTAGTTACTTTTTTCAATACAATTTGTGTTATCGTTTTTTTGAAAAGCCTGGTTTTTATTTTTATTTCAGTTAACAACAATGTTTTTTCACATCTAGTTTTTGTTATTTCGTTCATCTTAGTTGACGATAATAACCTCTGTGCACTGCCACTGCTGAGAGACAGGTCACATTGGCAGAGCAGGTGGAGGCTGGGGCCATGCAGGACTCAGACCAGACACAGACATGGCACAGGCCAGTAACTAAAGGGGTCCCCGTCTGGTAAGGCAGCTGGTGTGTGTGTCAATGTTTATGGAATATGCCTTTGGCCTGCAGTAAATCTTGGGCTTGTTCTCCCCCATCCAGAGTGTATATGATTACAGTGGAGGGGAACGGTCATGTGCCTTCTTTCAGCCTCTTCTCCAAAACTAAAACACTAGTTTAATGTCTAAGATTGTAAAAACACTCAAATAGACATGCACAATTATATACTGTGCATAATAGTTCTTGGAGTGTAATTCAGGAGTGTGATGTTGTGAGTTTTCATTGCGAATGTAGTTTTGACAAGAAACAATGTGGCTTGGGGGGCTATGTAATCTACTACTGCCATGCAAGTCCACTTGTAAGATGGACTGTATAAAAGTTGGCAGCCATTATACACAGATCACCCACACTTTTGCAGACATAGTGCTGAAACAATTAGTCAATTAATCAATTAGTTCATTGACAGAAACATAAAGATGTTGCTGGTTCCAGCTTTTTAAATGTGAGAATTTTCTACTTTTCTTTGTTTTACATCATAATCAAATGAATATGTTTGAGTTGAGACCGTTGGTTCAACAAAACAAGCACATAAGTCACATTGTGCTCTGGACATTTGCCATTATTTTTTGGACATTTGACAGAGAAAAAAAACCATCAACTAATCTCAAAAAATAATTAAGAGATTAATTAGAAATGAAAGAGAACAGCAAATTTACAATAAGGTACTAATAAAAGGCAGGACACAAACAAACACACACACATACAAGCTCAGGTACAGAGTGAATCACACGACTCTTGTATTCTCTCTCACACTCCCACACAGGCCCCCACACATACACAAACACACATACACACACATAATCATATAAGAGTTTGCTAGACTTTGCACCACCTCTTAAACACTGTCATTTTTCCCTTGGCACCACATCTCCATGTGAATTAACACACAGATCAGTCACGACACACAACCTGGTACAAACCCGTCAGATTTTCCCTTACATAGTGACGCTTGGGTCAGACCTCACAACGCTCCACGAACCGGCCAATCAAGTGACCCCGAATGGTGAAAAGAGGAAACCCGAAGCTCGGCTGAACCCCCATAAGTAATTTTGTCAGCCAATAAAAGTGATCAGATTTTGCACGGAATGCAAAACACTTTCTTCCCGGTGCTCATGTGAACAGCCTTAGTCCTCACAGTTCGCTCAGACATGAGTTTCCACTTAATGCTTTTTCAAAGCATTTGTGTTTTGTCCTTACAGAAACAGCTTAGGCTGTAGGTTTGTATACCCTAAAGGTGAAATCTATCTGCCTCTATAAAGTGTATGGTACAACCTTTATAAGTCTTTGAAGAAAATGAGAAAGAGAAGGATTTCCCAAATGCAATGCATGTTATTGCTGTAAGCACTGACATTTTGACTTTGATCGGTATGATATTGGATATTTTGTTTATACTATTAGTTGTATTTTGGATGGAGGCTTTTAAAATATTAAATCATGATCATTCAAAGGATAAATCTTGGTTTTCTAGTTTGGGCTCTCATTTCCATTGTACTGCACTACAGTAATTGCTGAGATATGGAAACACAGCATTGTTACATGAAATCAGACAGGACAAGAAACACAAGCAGTCAGCAGCAGTTCTGTAAGATTGTGTAAATAATTTTTATTCTGAGTGAGTACAACAAAAATGTTGGGAATAAACCCTCATTGTGTAAGAAAAAGGTTTGTGCGCACAACTAGAGCAATTGTAAAAGTTGAAACATAAGGTGTGCCTGTAAACTGTGATGGATGTTTACAACAGGCAGTTTGGGTAACAACTTCACAGTTGACCTTGGTTTTCTCTACCAAATTAGTTAGGAAAATCTGGGGCTTTTGATTTGACACAGGTTTTTTGTCATGTCAGACTTTTTAGTAATGTTGCTGCATTTTCAGATCAGAAGTGTAATACTGATACTGATCATACTGCAGTGTTATTAAACTGTAATTTTGGTATTTTTAAACCTGGGCCCTTTTTTCAAATATTTTAGGGTCGAACCTTTTGAAATCCGTACAGTAGATGGCTTCAGCTGCGAACCGGCTGCAAAATATTCT